GCACTTAGGCCTTGTACTGGGAGGATTTCACTATAAAAAACAATGTCCAGGAGACTAGAGGTTTATGTTTTGTCCACCATTTATGAACATAATTCTGCTTCATGGATGAATTATGTCCATTTTCATAAATAAGTTTTAACCTGTGAAAATTTCCGTTTTCCTATTTTAAATTTCTGATAAATCTTAATTCTTCAGTTAATGATTGAATAAGCTCAAGGCAAGTTTTACAACAATAAAATATCCATAGAAATTCCCCTGTTATATCATTACATATTTGTTCAAAATATTACAATAATATAAATATGAATTGCTTTAAGAAGTGGGTAGAAATGAAAACATTTGAAATTCGTAATTTTTTTCATTTCACTGAAACAGGCGTTAAATGCTTCTTCTATCTTCCCTTTCCTTCTTTCTTTGATTTTCTCAGTGAAAACAAGTAATGTCTCTGATCTGAGTTTTGTTTTTTCTATGCAATCAAAATTGAGTAGTCCATTATTAATGAGGTATTGACAGAAGACCTTAAACATTTCTATTGTTCGTTCTTTCTTTCATTTTCTCACTAAAACCAAATAGTAGCTTTCCCCTCTTTCCACACAATAAAAATGGAATAGTCCATTATTTATGAGGTATTGACAGAGCATAATGGTCATGCAAACTAATGAAGAGAGGCACAAGTACAATTATAATAGGATTCTTTTTTTCATAATCATCAAAATCTACTCTCATTAATTGAATAAAATGCTTGTTTCATTTTAGAAGATAAAAATGTTTGTACAGCATTGCTTTGTGTATGTGTGTGTCTGTCTCTGTATTGAAATTCTGTACTTCAGTATTCAATCCTCCTGAATGTGGTTTTTGGCCACATGCACTTGGGTGTGTCTGGAGTTTTAGACAGAACCTACTGCATATACATAGATGCTGATGCCAAAAATGCAACAGCATTGCCACCAAAATAATTTCCGTGCAGTGACTCTAGGATCAGGCATGGATTTAGACGGGGTAAAGGGAATTGAAGCATTATGAACACTAATGTATTTTTCCGAGAACAAGGCCATTGCATATTTAACAAGACAATAGTTGAATGACACTATCAAGTCTAAAATATGTTTTAATGGTGGGAATATTCAGTCTTTTTGCTTAATTTTATCAAGCAATAACAGTGAGCTTGAGAAACCTATTTTCCTGAAAAGCTGTTTTAAGAGAATGATGTAAATTTCAAACCAAAGTAGCAATAACTGCTCGGTTGATGAATACTGAATGTTTCCTTGTAAGGAAATGGCTAATATTATCTTTTACCATTAGAGATGACATGAACAATTACTACGCTTTGATTCTAGCCTAATGGCCAGGTAGTGAAGAAAAGCATAACTCGAGTAGCACTAACTCTTGGTCAATGAATGTCAAATGTTTCTTTTATAAGGAAATGACTAATACATGATAACATATACTACACTTTGATCTCAGCCCAATGATCAGAGAATGAAGAAAAGCATAATTTGAGTAGCACTGGCTGCTCAGCCAATGAATGCCAACTGTTTCCTGATAAGAAAATGGTTAATATCACAAACATGCTAGAATAAATACTCTTTCATAAATATTTTCAGTATTTTGTCAATAGGATTTTTAATTTAATGATAACAGAAACTATTGTAGTTTCTTTTCCCTAAAAATATTTATCATTTCCATGTGTTATATTTTAAAAAAATTTTTTTTTTTTTTTTTTTTTTATTACTATGTTTAATAATTCTTTATGGTAATCATTACTGTACATTTATTACAAAACTATTTATCAAATATCTTGGTGATTTAATAGAACCATGTATCAATGTAAGCATACAACACACTCAACCATTCCACCAACTGGCCAATGATTTTCCCACATTGCATCTCTGCTCTCATTCATATCAGTCTGCAAAAAGCTGGGAAAGGGCTTGATGCATGTTCACAAGGTAATGAGATGAGCAAAAAACACCATGTCAAGAAATGAGAATACAAACCTTGTTCCCTATATTATAAAATAGTTATTTTTTATTCAGGGCTTTGCCTTTTTTTTTCTGAGTAGGTAGGTAGATGATACTCGAGAGAACGTCTGCTATGTTGATCTAACAATTCAGCTCTTCTCTTTTATCAATCTATGTTCATCTACAGTGTATGTTTGGAAATACTAATGGCCATTGAAGCCATTTGACAAACAAGTCCTGCCAAGGGTTCTGTTACTATTTTAGGTAAATTGATAACTAATCAAGAAAATTTATTTAATTATTTGATTTTATTTATCTTTTTTTTTCAGATGGTAGAAGTCCTTAAAGAGCAATTGTATTTGTTTCACATTAATAATGATATTGTTGAATCTTCTACTCAAAACCATGAGCCTTCCCCTTCACCTATTTGTCGCCATCCTGGTTGGAAGGACATCTCCAATGAAGTCCATGAGCTACGACACCAGATTACTGGTAATGACACACTGCAAGCCATCCATCTGAAGAAAGCAGTTGAAGAGGTAAAAAGTTCTATTTGTTTTTATACATTTTAAATAATATTTTTTCTTAAAAAAAAATTGACAAATATGTTGGATATGAAATGGGTAAGATGTAGATCTTTCTTGTCTCTTGATAGAAAAATCCTTGTCTTAACCTTTGATCAGATGATTCCATCTACAAATAAAAGTGGGGCTGATCAATTGCCAGGTTTCTCATAAAAATTTGACATGAGAAACTCTGATAATTTGATGCCTAATTTCTGGGTATCAACTGTGCCCGGGGGAGAAGTATCTTTGATGACTAATATCTGAGCCTCAACTGTATCCAGTCACCTATGAAACAGTGATAAAATACTATTGTTTACAAGTAACAGTTTTATTTTAAGATAATGATGGTTAATGATTGTGAAAGAAAATGTTTGACAATCTTCCTTCATACATTCAGCAATATATCATTTTAACAGATACATAGAAAATAGGTCAAAATAATGACTGCCTTTACACATGCAACTAATGTAAGACTGTCTTTAGCTAATGAAGCACAATTTTGCTATCTACTAGGGGAGAGTATAATTTATTATTAGTGAACAACAATCTTCACTTTTTCAATTTCAAAGTCAGTCATTATCTATCCCCTATATTGTCACTTCTTACTTCCTATTTTTTCATATCACACACCTCACTCAGTGACACTCTACCTTGAGTGGCTTTTAGGCCCTTTAGAGGGAGGCATTATGCACCTCTCCACACCTTTGTGGGAAGATGGCTGTGTTCACCTTGTTGTCAATTTACAACTGTGTATGTAGTAGAGAGTTGGACACCCCTTTAATATGTGGTTAAATGTATCAAATGTTTTGATACGTTCTGTATAATAAAATGGGAAAGCAATTAAAAATGAAACCTTAAATTTTATTTTTAAGGTTAATTTATTATTTTGCTTTTCATCTAATATGTCTTCTATCTTATTCTTTACCCTGTTCAATATCTTCCATCTACCCCTTCAGTATGTGTCTGTGTGTATATATATATATATATATATATATATATATATATATATATATATATATATAAAAAAGACAATAGGAAAACTATAGTTTAGTTGACACATTTTGTCATTCAACAGACTTTTTCAAATCTGTCATGACAAAATGTGCTGGCTAAACTAAGTATAGTTTTCCTATTGTCTTTTTCATTTTGTCACTTCTACAGATATATTCCATCTGAGAATATTTATATACACACACACACATATGTATAATATATATATATATATATATATATATATATATATGTTGCAAAGTTCTGTCAGGAAAGGAAATTAGTCTTATTGAATCAGTGATTGGATTAACACTTTTGAAAAAAAGAAACAAAACAACACTTTCCAGATCTTGAGAACATGTCATTCAAAGGTAATTGAATATAAATTTCTTTTTTCTTTTTTTCCTTGTCTGTCAGGATTATGAAGATCCATCTTTAAACATGGATCTTTATTCATGGTAATCTGCTTTGGTGGTAAGTAATGTGGCATTAGTAGTGGATGCCTAAGTTCTGCATGAATGGTATAAGTGCTCTGGTCCTTTTTCTTTCATCTCTTTCTACTTTTTTCAGTTATCTTTTTAGCTTGTGACAAAAAGATAATCTTGTTCTTGCTCATATGTTATCAGTTTAGAATGATATGAATAAGAATTGAAATATTATGAAAATATCTACTATTCACTCAAATGCTGAAGAAACATTTCCCCCCATACATGTTTAAAGCCATCTAAGTCTTTATTAACTCTCTTTAATTGTATCGTATCATATGCAAGTGAGAATGACAACATAGAGAGCAGAGGGTAAACAAAGGAGATTAGTCAGTGAACGTGTTTGCTAAATATAACCTGGAGAAGTGAGATACGACTGATGATACTATACAGAGAGAAATACATAATATAACAATGGTGTCACCAATAGGATCCTTGAATGCGCTGGAAGACCCAGAATACGTAGAGACATGGATCAGAAATTTTGCAGCATTTGCAAGACTTAAAAAATTAAGAGATACTAAGACTGAAGGAGGAGAAAATGAGATAACTGATTTATTTCTTGCTACTGCTGGGTGCAAAGCGGTGGAGAAATTTTTGACAATGTGTTGCCCAAGTGAATTAACAGAAATGAAATTTGAAGAAATTGTCAAAGTTCTAAAAAAGAGCATAAGACCAAAGAAAATTTTGGTCGTTGCTGAGAGAACTAAGTTTTTAGAGACAAGACAAGCATCAAATGAGTCCATTATACAGTACTTACATAGATTAAAAGAACGTGCTAAGTACTGTGAATTTGAAAAGTTGGGGACTCAGGAAATGACCATAGAAGTTGAATTCTCAGAATAATTGAAGGTTTGCAAGACCAGAACCACAAACAAAAAATACTGGAATGTTTACAAAGTAGTAACATGAATTTGGAGGCTAGCGTTAAATTTTTACAACAGTTAGAGTTGATTACAGAATTTAATCAACCAAGAGAAGAATTGAGGTGCACAGGACGAGCACAGCCAAATTTATAATTAAATGTAGATACTGTGAAAAAACATCACAAGAGAGAGACATGTACAAATGTCCTGTGTTAGGAAAAATATGATCAAATTGCAAAAAAGGAGACCATTTTCAGAATGTATGCAAATACGAAAAGAAAATAGAAAGAGTACAAAAAGTACAAAACCCCTCCAAAGAAGAGGCTGAAATATTTACAGTGAATACGCAAAAAAGAACGTGAGAAAAAAAATAAGGATAAATGGCTAAATATTTAGCATGCAAGTTGATACAGGCAGTGACGTCACACTGATACCAAAATTTCGGGTTCAAATTGAGATGGCTTAGATTAAAAAAAAAAAAAAAAAAAAAGCAACATCCAATTGAAGCGATTTAAAGGAAACAATTATAAAAATAATGGGTACATTTCAAGGCTATTTTGAAACGGAGACACATTTTGAATTAATTCCCATTACAGTGGTAGAATACGAAAAAGATCATGGATTGCTAGGAATTGATATGCTAAAAGTAGATACAGCAAGATTAATCAATTCCATGGAAGCACAAGAAAATGAAATTGGAGTGTTAAAAGGCTATAAAGCAAGTATTCGACTAAAAAAGAATTATCACCCAAAATATGTAGAGTCAAGAAAAGTTCCAATTCATATCCCAGCTTTGGTAGTGGCCAGGTTAAGCAAAATGATACAACAAGGCATACTAGAAAGAGTGACTCAAGGTGGTAGCAAATAGGCATTACCAATAGTAGCAATAAAGAAACCTGATGGAGATTTAAGGATTTGTGGTGATTATAAGATAGGGGTAAATCACCAGATATATTTGGACTCTTTTCAAAAATGCGAGCCACGAGTTAGCGAAAATGGAACACTTTGCTGCAAAAATTGATCTCAAGGCAGCAAAGAAATTGATGAAAAATTTAAGGAAGTAACTACGATGAACACCCCTACAGGCTTGCTAAGATGGACGCGTCTACCGTTTGGGGTAAAGATGTCGAGTAATATTTTTCAGAAAGTGATTGAAAGAGTCTTATTAGGAAAAATAAAAAAATATGATAATCTACCAGGACGATATATGCGTAGGGGCAAGAACCAGAGAAGAACTGAAATATGAAACGGAGCAAATTTTGATGAGATTGAGCAGGGCAGGTGTTGACTATAACAAAGACAAATGTAGTTTTGACTGCAAGAAGTTATCATATTTAGGATATCAAATATTGAAAGAATGCATATCACCTGATGAGAGATTAACAAAGAAAATAACAGAAATAGCTCCTCCAACAAATAAAAAGAAGTTAGAATCCTTTTTAGGGACTGATAAATTTTTATAGTAAATACATTCCAAGATACAGCGATGTAATAGAGCCATTTGCAAAATTATGCAAGAAAAATAATGAATTTAACTGGACACAAGCAAACTATCGCTTTTGAAACTGTAAAGAAAATACTGAGGAGCAAACCAATAAAAAAATTTTTTAATCCACAAAAAGAAGTAACATCATCAAGGATTTTGAGATAGGTGATAAAGATCATGGTATTTGATTTTGATATAATATATGTAAAAGGGAAAAACTATCCCTCATGTAGATATGTCATCAAGATTGCATTTCAAGAATGAAACCAACGAAAAACAGAAAAAGGCAGAAGACAAAAAAAATACCCTGAGTTGAAACATTCATCCTCTAAATAAACTCAAAATAGAGACAAACAGCAAGACCCAATATTAAGCAGAATAGTGGAGAGAATAAGAAATAATATATGGAGCAATTGTTTGATAGCAGTGACCCTTTAAAGAAACAAAGCATAAACTGACCAATGAAAATGGCATAATATGCAATAGAGATATAATTGTGGCTCCACCAGTACTGAGGAGGGACATATTAAAGGAGTGCATCGTGGCATAATAACGACACAAAAAAGACTAAAGTTACAAGCTTGGTGGCCAGGGTATTCAAAAGATGTAGAGGAGTATATTAAGAGATGCCCAAAATGTGTGGAAATAAAAAAAAAAAAAAAAAATTAAGCAAAGAAAAATTCACTCATGGCCCAAGGAAGCAGAGCCATGGGTTAGATTCCACATGGATCATGCGCATATCAAAGATAGGGGATTGTACTTAATATTAGTGGATTCGTATTCAGGATGGCCAGAGGTTGTCAGAGTAAAAGACAGAAAAGCCACCACAATAAAGCAAGTATTAAGAACTATATTCTCAAGGAATGAAGTATCCCAGACAGTCACTGAAATTTGCGATGAAAATTTATGTGTGTGGTTGAAACATATAGGATGTATCCCATACAAGACTCCACCGTAGCATCCACAATCTAATGGCATTGCAGAAAGAATGGTACAAATGATGAAAATGGGATTAAAAGCATTGTCATCACTTAATGCAAGCCTATAAGCGTATTTACCAAAAATGCTTCTCAGTTATAGATCCATTCCACATGCAGGAAGAAAGCTGAGCCCTTCGGCATTAATGGGTAGACAAATAAGAGCCCC